GTTTGGCAACTTCAATAACTTCATGGAAACCTTTTTCTTGAAACAGCCTTATAAGGTTGTTTGTGTTCCACCATGAGCTAAATCCTTTTTTTGTCGGCATTACTTTGAATATTTTTTCCCCAATATTGAAAAAACAAGGACAAACTCAGGTGCCCTAAAGGCAGACAATGATTATTTGGCAGAGCAAGACGTGACTGAGAGAAGTGTTTTTATCAGGCATTGTTGGATTCATGTACGGATGATATATAAACAATGACTTTGCTATTCAAAGTGTGGTGCCAAAGTCATTCCACCACTGGGGATCCAGGCAATGAGAAGAAAGCCGGTTTGCCACAGAGACAGCATGCAGTCAGCCTATTTGTAAATCAAATGAGTTGCTAAAATAGAGCGTGCTTGCATGGTCACTATGGGTTTTTGTATCAAATTACTAACATACCTTAAACAAAAGTTATCTATGTTTTCCCCCCTTCATTTCAGTGACCTTCAAACAGATAACCATGAAGCTGATAAGAGTTTTTCCCCTAGGATGTTCATGCATTTTTGTAGTCAATTTAGAAGGAAGTATTTTTGTTTGGGAGATAACATTGGAGAGCGAAAACAAAGCCAGCATCTTTTAGATTAAACCACTTGTGTACATATTGACTACATAACTGAAACCAATGTGAAAAATGATTTGCTTTTTAAATAAATAATTATTTAAAGAATATACACCAAGCATTCAAAATTTGTACTCAGCCAAGGCTGGACCCGTAAAAGTTGTTATCCTTGTAAAAAGGAAAAGTTTGGAAGGGTTTAACCTTCAATTGGTTTTTAATTTGTGTTGCATTCAGTCAAGTGCAACTTCTAAATCTAAAGTAAACACCAAACACTTGGTTTTGAGACATCAGATGAACACAGATCTATAAATCAAACATTTCTATAAAATTTATTCATATAGGTAGTAGGTGTTGCCCATATCATACCAATCAGGCATTAACAAAGACGACTGAAAAGCACCTCAGTGACCTCAGTTTAATTAAAGCAGTGACAAAAAAGCTGTCCAGAAACCACAGATGTTTAATTTGTAGATGAGAAACACTAATATGTACAGTTTTTTGATCAGTGTAGTGGAATAAAAAGTACCAGTTCAGTACTGTATCAATCTAAAGAAACATTTTGCTTATTCATTTTGCATAAGTATTCAAAACTGATACTTGTACATTTGTAAGAGTTTGTGACTCACTGGTAAACGTAGACTAGTTTTCAGCACCTTTTTTCACCTTTCAGAGCATCAGAGGTTGGATATTAAATTATTCTGACACAATTGTTTCAAATCTGGTTTGACTTGAACAAAGTCTAAAAGCCCTGCTTTTAGGTTTGAACAGGAGACCTTTTTTTGTCAAAGTGGTATTAAAGTGCAAGGTGCTCATTCATGTAAAAATGTAGCCTAGTTCATGTGCATTTCAGAGTTTGTCAGATATAGTGCACAAATTCACATAACACAATTCTACCTTTTATGAACAATGTGTCATAATGATGATAGAATTTACTTTCTATCACCTTTATGGCCTTTATAGTAGTTTGATTTTTTTTGCACTATATCTTACTAACACCATAATTAGGTCTAATGAATATGCAAGAAATACACTTTGATTCCCAAAATTTACTATGCCCACTATGCAATGAGAGCAGCTTAATACATCCAACCAAGCAGATAACATCTACTAACTGAATGTGCCTTTGAAGTACTGGCTTGCACAACTGTGGCAGCATTTAAATTAGACATAAGGTTAATTTATTTGCAGAAAGTGATCCATCTTGTTTGAAAGTTGTGCAGGCCTTATATTGGTACAGAGACTTTAGGAAGATCCCAAGAGCCAAATGTTCAACTTGGGGCTATAAAGTCTTCAGTGAAAACTGGGTTATGCAGAGTGTAGCTATTTTTATTCATTTATTTGTTTATTTATTTTTTTGGTCAGATATAGGTCAGTACAAAACATTAGTAGCCTGGCTATATATATTTACATTTTCTAAAAAATAAGATATAGCCATCCTTAACATAAAATTAATCATTGCAATTGTAATTGCGATTACAATGACCTAAATAGGTGAACTGGCTTTTGAAAGTTAAACCAGCAGATATAACCTATACATTCTGCTTTGTCACATATTCTTGTTGCTTTGTTTTGTTCTCTGCACAACAAAGAATAAGTGGTAAGTTCTGCAGGAACAGTGGATGGTAACAATGATGGAATCACTACATCTTTCAGCTGCTCCCCTCAGGGGTCACGAGGGCTACCTCTATCTCATCTTTATCCCTAGCATCCTCTTCTGTCACACCAACCCTCTGCATATCCTCCATCACTACATCCATGAATCCTCTCCTCCACGTGCCTGGCAGCCCCATCTTCAACTTCTTTTGTCCAATATAGCCACTATCACTCCTCTGCACATGTCCAAACTGTCTCAGCCTTGCCTCTAAAACTCCAAAGTGCTCAATATGAGCTGTCCCTCTGATTTACTCATTTCTAATCCTGTGCATCATTGTCACCACCAACACAAATCTTAAAATCTTCAGCTCTCCCACTTCTTCCTCTTCTTCCTGTCTTTTTGTCAGTTCTATTGTCTCCAAACCATACAACACAGCACGTCTCTCTACGATCTTGTAAATCTTCACTCTGGCTGCTATCCTTCTGTCACCCTGACACCCGTCTCCACCCAGTCCATCCTCGTTGCACTCTCTTTTTTACTTCTCTTGAAGATGGGGATGCACTGTCTGTTGCTTTGGATGCTTGACCCCACGTATTTAAACTCATCCACCTTTGCTCCTTACAAGTTCACAGTTACACCTGCAACTATTCTGTCTCGCTTCTACTGAAATCCACTCTTATTCTCTTCGGTGCATACCTCCACCTTTTCAGGCTGTTTTCCACCTGCTCCATACGCTCACCACAGATTACAATGTCATCTGTGAGCATCACAGTCCACAGAGACTCCTGCCTGACCTCATCTGTCTGCCTGTCTATCAAAATGACAAGCAAGAAGGAGCTCAGAGGCAGTCCCTGATGTAATCCCACACTAACCTGAACCCATCTGTCACTTCTACAGTCTCGCTGTCCTCACAAATGACCTGCAACATGCTCACATACTTCCCTACTACTGTACCACTGTTCCTTTCTTGGCACCCAGTCATATGCTTTTTCTAGAAGACACAGTGCAACGCAAAAATTCACAGATATGACATGGAAAAATTTTAGGTATTGAAAGTACTCAGTGGGTGGGACCAGTCATATTCAGTACAAAAAATAACGTTTTATAAAGAAAATAATTCTTACTTTAATTAATTTTGCCGTTAATAAGTTGCAGTTCTCACCGTTTAGCAGCAGCTGCTGAGATGACTGACAAACACTTGGACCAATCACGGTTGAGTTCCTCAAAGTGCAATGACGTAGATTGCGCGACGCCATTACGTAACTTGGTAGAGCGGAAGCGCTAGTAGACGCTGTATTTTCTTCTTCTCGAATGGTGCTCTGTTTTGAAAGGTACAGTTTGGACATAATTAAAAAAACAATTACAGTAAACGTGTAGTAATGCAGACACTTGTATACAGTTAAGCGAAGCCGAGGGGAGTGGACTTTAGAACATGTTTTGCTGTTTAAACATTATTCTTATGCTATTAGCAACGAGCTAAGCTAATAGGGGATATTGAGTGTTCGAGGGATAACAGTTATTCAGATTATTGGTAGCCCTTCTCTTGCTTTCGGTTTCTACTGCCCATCGCTTACATGTTTCTTATGTCAGGTATCATCATGTCAAAGCAGCCGTTGGGAAAAACGCTGCTGAGGAATGTAATCCGACACACGGATGCCCACAACAAGGTGCGTTTAGACTCAACAAGTGTTTGTAAGATGAAGGTGGAGGTTTTTTTATGTGCACTAATCTATTGATTAATTACTTAAAGCTTAAAGTTGAGCTGAGTTGATGATTTGTTTAAATGAATGCATTGCTTCTGTTTGGTCCTTTAGACTTCCTTTCCACAACAATTTAGCAGAGCTTGTACGAGAGCGATACATCAAGCGCAGTCTCTGCTTGCTCAGATTAAACTCTTATACAGCAGGTATAAAATACCAAAACAAACCAACTATGTTGAATTAGGTAGGTTAGCCCACTGATTGGCAGGATTTCTTCTTTACCCACGCACAGGAAGGATGGCATTTGTAAATATTTGTATCATGTGTACACTAATGCATCTCTGTGTTGTCTTTGTGTGCATCTTGTTGTGCAGATCCAGGAGGAAATTGACATGTGGAAAATGCGAGACTGGGAGATCCAAACATCCCAACGAAAAGATTTTTCAGATGCAGAGTTTGTGAGGTAAATACCTCAATTTAATTTGATTTACCTGAACACAAATGAAATCACAGCACTTTTGAATCTTTGTAATGCAGCTGTCATTTTGATTATACATTGACTTGATGATTTAAGGATAATGGTTGTATTTCAGAGGACATATGCACTGCGACCGAGTGTCAGATCAACGTAGAGACTTTAACCGAAGCAGAGAGCGTGCCTCAGAACATGATGACAGAGAGGCTCGATACTGGACTCGAAAACTGTATGAATTTGAGTCCAATGATCCTGACAGGTACTGTACAAAAAACAAAACATAATGAAGTGGCAGTGGTCATGTGTTTCCAGTGTGTAATGGAAATACTGGAGTGCTACATCAGATGAACTAATATATGTGATTTCATATATTTCCGTCACAGATGGGGACATAGTGGGTTCAAGGAGCTTTATCCCGAGGAGTTTGAAAGTGATGGGTAAGCAGAAATTTCATACATACCAAATGGGTTATTATATATTCAAATAGATATTCAGACTTTAAAAGGGCACTCATGCAATTTACCGCATTTCCATGGAGTTAACCTCCCAACCCTGAACCTTGTAGTAATGCAAGACCAACTGATACCAGGCTGAAGTCTGTTGCATAATTTCATTGTTAACAAAGTAGCAGAAGTAAGAAGAGACTCCATTATGAGACTTGCCCCCTGCACTGAAAAAAGGGTACACCCATTAGATCAGGGGTGGGCAACTCCAGGCCTCGAGGGCCGGTGTTCTGGGAATCCATCCTACCTGGAAAAACATCCTACCCAATGTTTCTGCACAGACGCGGCGCATGCGCACAAAACCAACGCCGAATTAACTTCTTTTTCTCTCACCCATCCGGAATACTTCTTATGGTTATGGTTATGGGTAGGGTTAGGTTTAGTTGCAACTCACCGTCAAATTATAACGGGTAGGACGTTTTGTCAGAGTAGGATGGTTTCTTAGAACACTGGTGTCCCTGCAGGTTTTAGATGTGTCCTTGAACCAACACAGCTGATTTAAATGGCTAAATTAGCTCCTCAACATGAAGTTCTCCAGAGGCCTGGTAACAAACTAATCATGTGATTCAGGTGTGTTGACTTAGGATGAGATCTAAAACCTGCAGGACACCGGCCCTCGAGGCCTGGAATTGCCCACCCCTGCATTAGATAGTTCATTAACTATTTAGATTTTATTAAGTACCTCAACATTTGTCAAAATAATTGTAATTATGAGTTGTAAATAGTGTTAATATCAGGTTCTGACTTTGATTCCAGCACTTTCCTATGCTACAGTATTGTTTGGTGTGTGATTTTTAGATGATGATAATGTGTCATTCTTAAAGAAAATTTGTGCATATAAATTACATGTTGTTGTCATGAAATTAAAACGTTTTTATGTGGTGTTACAGGTGCATAAACACTACAAATGGGTCATTTTGTCTGTTTTTAAGCAGTTGCTAGGCCATTATGATGGCATACCTCTGAAACAGATAACAGCCTTCGAGGACCTGAGCTGTAACTGTGCAAATTTTGATTGCTCCTGATTGTGTAAGAGGAGCTCACAAACAAAGATTTCATGTATTACTTTAAAAAATACTATATGCACCTGGTCAGATGGTATTAGCATCCCAGCATTATTGTTTTTGGGATAAAATATTCCATCTAGTCATTTAACAAAGCTGGATATTTCAGGCAGAAATACTGTGACCATAGCTGTGGTAGATTTATGATATGCAAGCTTCATTTCATTTGTATTTGTAAAGATTTTACCCTGAACTGTCTGGCCTCTTTAGTTTGGTGAAGTATGTTGCTAATATTTTTACACTGGCATCAAGCACTTTTTAAACACTTGATCTTCTAATTTTGTTGTTTAATAGTGGTTTCCAAACAGCTCATGGTTTTGCTGATATTTTTAGGAGTATTACTGGTAAAAATGAGGGGAAATGTGCAAGAAATAGTCAGATAAAGTATTTTTAAAAAGTTGAGAATTTGAAAATTATACAAATCCCTATAATTTACACCCATATTGATATAGCTGAGTGAGGGGGCCCAGTGTAAATAGCTGCTGTGTAACTGTTCTCACCTGGGTGCAAATAGTCACTCTAGTAATAATGGGTTATTATCCAGATTTAATGGATGATGAACACACAGTGTTTTAATCTTCACACAGCCTCAAACATTCACACCTCCATGATGTTAACATTCTGGTTATTAACGAGCTTCCTTGTTAATGAATCTCTACCGATCATACTTTCTTTTAAAAACGAAGAGGTCTTCAAGTCAAAGCTGAAATAAACTCTAAGATTACATCGTAAACATTATGTTTCTAAGACTTTACAGAGAGCTTCTTTATAGTAAGCCACAGAAGAGATGGTTCTCTTTGCTTGACTGATCTCCATGTCAAAAACCAGTGTATTTCCCTGTATGTCTTTATATTTATTCTTCTGACTTTGTTTTACTTTAGTGAAGAAAACAGTGCCAAAAAGAAGATGAGCCATCACAAAATGAAAAAGTCCAAGTCTGACACAGAGGCATGCTTATCAAAACGGTCCAAAAAATCCTCACGGAAAAAGAAGAAAAAAAAGAAGAAAGGTGAGGACGGAAAGCGTAAGAAAGTGGACAGTTCGAGCAGTGACTACAGCAGCGATGACAGCGGTGCTACAAAAGACAAGCAGAAGAGAAAAAGGACTAAAAGTCGACATAAAAACAAGAAAGCTTCAAAAGCCAGAGGAAAAGACGTGGACATCAGCACAGAGGACAGTAATGATGAGATAAAAAGGGAGAGGCTGTCACACAGTCGCAAAAAGCGAAAGCACGATTCGCACAAAGACTCCGACTCAGGGCCAAACTCAAAAAAGAAGAAGAGGAAAAACTGGAAAGCAACGGGTGAGGAGAGCTCGGACAGCTCTGCCGACTGAGGCGCGCTGCTAAAAACTGATGCACAGTTCAGGTAACGGGCACTGAAACTGCTGCAGATTCCTTTGTTGTCCCTAACTCTGCTGAGGGCTTTTCACTGCAGGCATCTTCTAAATTGCACTTTGTTTAACATCAACAAACCTGTGGTTACGGGTCTCTCCGTGGGCGTCCTGCGTGGCAGAAGCTCATCACCTCTGCAGAGATTCGAAGCACACTGTACAGCAGTACAGACAGCAGGGAGCATGAAGAAGGATGATAGGGTAGCAACCATCTGTCTCAATAGGTATCCTGTGAGCTGCAGGCACATTGATTGATCGACTCACCTCTGACTGTCTGCCTCACATAGTGACCTTCTGTCCTCAGACGACCAGTGTTTTTATTTTATTTATAAGGAAATGCAATTTGAATAATTATTTTCGATGGAATATGTATTTTATTTTTTTTCATGTTTTGCAATTTTCACTCTTTGTATAAAGTGTGTTGTCATAAAATAAACATCTATTTTGCATTTTTTTTAAATTATATTTAGTGTTTAAAATGGTGTATTATATGTTTTTAAAAGAACAAGAAATGATCATCCCCGGATTTCTCTAAAACCTTTAATCCATTTAAACTAACAAGTACTGCCTATCCACTTAAAAGCTGACATGGTTCCGACAGTACAACGCCTAAAGGTTTGTAGATCTGGGCAGAAAAGCGTGAGGGTATTTGTCTTCCTGTCTAACTTTTCTGGAAATGTTCACATTATTTTCTTATTAGTTACAGCAAAAACTGTATCTGTGTGAATGACATTGTGGGGGGGTCATAAATATGCGATCCGGAGAGCAGTTCTAACTCAGGGTTTTAATAACATACACACTGATTGTCTTGCATCCACGAGGGTTTAAATGAGTTGTAACAGATACATTATTTATAATGCCGTGGGTGGTTCCTGTTCCTTTTCTGAAAGTAAAGACCAGAATAAGGACATAAACCTTACACTTAAAAACGCATCAAGTTGGCCTCCCTCCCCACCCCAGCAATTTCCATATAGCACTTTATTTTCCTCTGTCACAGAGCTCCACTTTTATACTATTAAAAACACATCAGTGAGCCACACCGTCACTGGCAGACACCTCCTTTCATTGCACTGAACGCTGCCATCGCCGTTTATTCTGAATCATTCCCACATGCACCATTTTGCTGCAATAAATACTCATTAGATAAACAATTCGCTGCTGAAAATAGTCCCCAACATATATACTGCTTCCTCTGGTTTCAGTAACATTAGCAAAAACTCCACCGATGAATTGTTCTCAGAAAACAATTTACCGTTTTTAAAAAATGAAAATAAATTTTCGTTATACAAGAGCTACAGATAAAGCAATAGAGGTTGTTGCCATGGGATTTGTAACAACAGCCTTAAATTAGGAAATTATTCTTTAACTTGAAGGCACGTGCACGCACGTACGTTGAATCTAAGCAGGCTGCAGTATAAAGGTAAGCACAACCATTGCTCTGTGTGCAACATGTTTGAAGCCCAAAACAGAAAAATAATGAGATGGCAGTGTAAACGTAGCTGGCTTCTGTTAATAATTCTTACTTCAATACTTTGAAATAGCTGCTGGCGTATATATATAAAAAATTATTGCATTTCCGATGAAGAGGTGTTGTGAATCTCTTGATTTGTTGAGTTGTTTGTCAGGAGAGAAACAGGGTGGCTTGGTCTCCATGGACTAACATGAATCAAAGACCTCGCCACAGTCCTGTTGTTTTTTTATGATACCAAAGAGAGACTTTCAGACACTGCTGCTCATGATCAAAGTGAGTAAGTCTAGTGTTTGTAGAGCTACTTTTTGACTGCTATAGAAGTCTTGTCTGTGATACCGTTGAACACAGATTGTCCTGTGTGGTCTTATTGTTTCTGTAACGTTAAGACGGCACCTGAATGTAAAAGAAAAATGCAAAGATGGACGACTCACTAATGCCGTACACAGCTGATACCACTTTCATACATCACTCCTGAAAACCACCGTTCTACCCATATCAACACCAGTCTCTGTCCAGACTGGTAAGAAAGAGTAGCTTGTGCCATCTGTGTATTTATAGATAATCTGATGCCAAGGGAAGTGTTGGTAAACCGTTTTGAAAGTGTGTGTACTGGAAAAGCCTGAAGCACTTCGCTGAGTCTGTGTCAATAGGCTAAGTGTTCTCTCTAAGCAGCAGAGAGTGAGCTGTGCTCGGCTTGGCTGCAACTGCCTGAATCTTGGAAATGGAAGAAAGCAAGTGAAATTCAGCAAGTCAAATCAGTTTTGACGGCGGTTTTTAAACACGTTGCCACGGTTTATAAGCATTTTGGCAAAAGGGCAGAATCCAAAAAATGAGTCTATTACAACCGAACCTTTGCATGATAGTTAAGACAATCTGTTTTTAGAAAGGGGGGGAAAAGCTTGTTTTTGCGGTTATCATTGTAATAATTATAGAAATTAATGTCAACCCTACATTTTTTAAGCCAAATTTGTGCTGCTGCATGTTACTGCAGACCTCCGGATGGTTTAGTGTTTTGAAACTGACCAAAACCCTTGTGAAAACCTTTTAATTCATGCGAGTGGCATAATTCGATAGGACAAAGCTATTCTGTTAGTCCACTCTGGTCCAGAGATATCTTTATTGCCCCGATCCCCTGAACATGTGCAAACAGTGGAGGCATAGCACCGAAAAAAAAGGACAGGGGCGAAAATAAGTATTTAGTTAAAACCACAAGTGGAGTTTCACATAAGAACACAAAAGCATGACTGCGGTCTTGAACAGAAATAGTGTCATTTTAAAAATATATATAAATATGTACTAAACTATGCTAAGATTGGACTTTTCAAAAACACATATTATATGGTTTGAAAACGGAATGGAGAAACTATTAAATAAAAATAAACCTGGATCAAGTGTTGGTCTTTTTTTTGCAGTTATTCAGAACTGCTGATAAGAAACAACCCACCCCCCTGGTGTTCACTAGTTTGACTGTCCAGGCCAATTTTTTAAAGGCAGGGTGATGTCTCAGCCTCATCCTCCTACCTAAGCAGATTTTTGTGTCGAATAGTGGTTACAGATGTGAGCACACACACACACACACACACACACACACACACACAAACACTTCTCCTGTTTGTAGAGCCGGCCGGCCTCGCAGCTCCAAACAGTTAAGCATCAGTAGTTACTGTAATAAGGAGATGGATTCAGCTCAAAAGGTTTGTGCACGACAAACTGACAGCTGAGCATTTACACCCCAAAAGTTAAATCCCCCTTCTTGAAGCTATGTAAAATGAGAATGTTTGCGCTGTAAATTGGTTAAGTGTGATGAGGAAGGATGAAGGGATGACCTCGTTCTCGGATTCAATCCTCTCCGTCACCGAGGATGCAAATAGGAGACTCGGGAGGATTGGAAAAACCCCCAGTGCGACTTATCTTTCTGCTCCATGTTTTATCTTTCTGCTGTCCACGCAGCTCGGTTTCATCTCAGCCTGTTCTGAGTAGCTGTAATCAGAGGGAGAGGGTGTTTACCATTTCAACAAGCAAATACCCCTCATCTGCTCTGATCATATCTTTTCCTGTTGTCCGATCTTTTTTCTTTTTTCTTTTAGCTACACTTGAGTTCGCCTGCTGTATCATGCATTTGTATGCACTACATAAACAACTGGTTTAAAATACAATATATTGCCGTTGTAGGCAGATGTTTTGACATTTCAGGTGTTTGTATAAATTCTTGGCATATCTAAATTTTTAATGTAACAGTTAGTTATTATTACATATTTCACAATGACACTTGGGTAATAGAAAAATCCGCTGATGAATGAACATGTTTACCGGCAGTTTAAACTTGCCCGATCGATTTTTTTAATATGTATAAACACTTAATGAATTTTTAATAACTCAATTTGAGGATTTGTTAAACATATTTCATTAAATATGACTATAGCCCACTGATGTCTTATTTTGTGTTACTGATTTTATGTTTCCACACCAGCTATAGATGCTGATAATTACATTAACAAGCACTTAAAAGCGTCCTGATAACTGCTCACAACTGCATTATAATGATTTATTAAGTGATACGTACAGTACTGCTTTTACATGTTTGAAAGTAAATTCCCCTCCTGCTGTTTATTATATATGTTTAAAAACAGGATGCTACACAGGCCATGTTCAAATGGTTATTAATATATCCTCACTGCAGTATGCAATTAATTAGGAACCTTGCAGAGCTTTGTTTCCCCCTAGTGGCACGCCTCAGATCTTACACCCTTGATAATAACAGCTGGCTGCATTTGAATTCAGCACCACGTCCAGTTATCGTGTCCCCTCCTCGTCCCACTACCACTCTGCTCAGTGGTCATAGAGGAGCTTTCACAGAAGCCTTATAAATAGCACAGAGAAATCAAATATTTATCTTCTGAATTTGTGTGTCCCTTCCTGCAGTGGACAGACACGCACACGCACGCAGACTCACGCGCGCACACACGCGCGCACCCTTCTACTGCTGCAGCACAAGAAGGAAACGCCACTGACACAGTTAACCCACACAAAAAAATTTAATACCCTTCGTGAGGGAGTAGATGGTCCAAACCTTGACATACTAAATAGGGAGAGGTGTGATGACACAGGTTTTTAATGTAAAAACTTGCAGCCAACACCCAAATGCTTTGTAAAAAGTCATGTGACATATGACTTACTTACTTACATAGTTAGTACACATACACCAATGTTTTAATATACTTATATATGTCTTTTTTGTTTGTTGTCTTTTATCCAGACCAGCCAGATACAGTACCCATTAATATACAGTCACATCTGCAACAATACCGATTTTAATATCATACAGTCCGACCGTCAGAGAGGAATCCATGGCAGGTTTCCAGGTCCATCTTCTCTATGCAAACACATAAGAAATCAGCCTTTGTAAAATTCCGCTCTCTTTTAATAATCATTATTGTATAGACTGGTGTTGATACTTGTCCTTGTATCTCGTGTCTTCTGTGCAAAAGTTTTTTTTTTTTGTTGTTTTTTTTAATTTTATGAACCCAAAACATGATTGACATAACAGGATACCTGGCTGTTCACTTTACAGTTATGATGAAGTTTTTTTTCTTTCTTCTTCTTTTTTTTTTTTTTTTTTTTTTTACAATTAAACAGTTACATCCTAACGCCACACCCCCTTGGCATATCACAGAAAAAGGAGAAAATCAAAAATCCAACACAATGCTTCCCGTTCTCAGTATTGGAAAGCAGTGGTAGAGAGGACGGTTTATGACTACAGTGAGCAGCATCCTCCATTCGTACATTTTTTTTTTTAGAATAAGGCACTGCTGCATAAAGAAAGGACATGGCCAACAGACTTCTGTGGGAGCATGACGGGGAGGCAGGATGAACGAGACCGTGTTCTTCTCCAGCAACTCGCAGAAAGCTCGTCTCAGTATGTGTGCTTGTGTTTATCTCTTGCTGTGTGCTGGGAAAGTGTGTCATATGGCATGTAGACATATTTGTGTTTTTACATGTGTGTGTTTGTATGTGGCTGAGCCATTTCTTTTGGCTACACTACTTTACTCAGACTGTGCTCTCTAGCATCCACTCAGTGCTGCTGAATGTAACTCTCCTGCTGGCGAGCGGCGAGGACTCCATGTTGAGCTGGTTGGTGGATTTGTGCCACCTCGTCCTCGCTCTGCGTGGGTAACTATGACTCTGAAAAATGGAGTAATCCCCGCCGTCAAACGAGAATCTGTGCCTAGTTCGTGCTAGCTCATTAGGGAGCAACCCCATGTTGGCCAGGGTACTCTTCTTGTCCTTGAGCCTGGGAGCCTCCTTGGTGCCAGCATTGGGGCCTATGAGACACAGGGACATGGTGGAGCCTGTCAGGCTATTGTCCATCTGCGTGTCGTCAGATGGGGGACCAGAGCGCTCTCCATCCAGGCTGGTTCTTCTCTTCATCTTGTCTACAGTTATGGGAGGCAGCTCCACCTCCAGTATGGCAGTTGTGGCTGCTGAATCCTGCTTTTTCTCACCGTCCACCCTCAGCACCAGTGCCATGCACTCTTTGGGTGCTAGGGCTTCATGCTGGCCTTCGTCAGAAGGTTGCTTGGAGGCAGAACGCTGGAGCCGGTGCTGGCTTCCATTGGTCTGGGAGTGCATGCTACAGCTGACCTTGGTCTTGCTGTCCTCCGGGCTGCTGTAGGCCTTGTAACGAATCATCAGGATGATGATGAACACTAACACCGAAGCAACAATTATACCACCAATAATGATGATCATAGTGCCTCCCAGGAACTGGCTGTGCATGAAACGGCACTGGCTGACCTCACTGGCTGTGTGGAACTGTACGCAGCCGACCACGCGGGTAGCTGTTAACGAAGTGATGCCGTCATCGTAAACCGCCAGCACACAAAGGTCGTATTCCCGTCCTGCAGCCAGATCATTGATTAAGAAGTTCTTGCTGGTAGATGGGATCATTCTGCGGTGAAAAGAAACAGCGCAGTGGTGAAGATGTGGAGGAGTAATCTTAAGAATTACAACACCCACATGCACTGATTTGCACAAGGTGTATTAAATCACACAGAGGTGTCAGTTCTGCATCAGAATAAGGTAACAGTGCCATTACCACAAACTTTAAATATCACTCTGGTAGACAGATATAAAAACATCACACTTCAATACAGGCGACTTCTAAGTCCATATGTTGTATTATATTGTAAAAAGGGTGTAAGAAGTTGCTCGATTTGGTTTGTGTCTAACAAAGTGACAGCGAAGGTGATAAAAAAAGGCAGGAGAGGCTCACTGTCTCGAGTATATGCCACAACAGCTGCAGGCTGGAGGACAAGTGACGCATGATGTGAAGACAGTTTGGATGTGTGAATACCTAAGGTCACAGTTTGTTGGCAACTGTAAGATTACACGACTCTAAGTACGAAGGAGAAAGGCATTGTCTTCAGGTCAACATTGGCGTTAATATAATTAGAAGCTTGTTCCTTTCCCCTAAGGGAAGACTTTGATGGTTATTATTTGTAGGTAATAATGTACCACCTAAAGACAAAACAACACTCAGCTCCATGCTAAAACGGGATGAGAAAATTATACAGGAGAGTAACTCATTATATCTGATAAAACCTTGAAAAAAAAAAAAGAAAGAAAGGAAGGAAGCAAGAAAGTCAACCACTATTATTAACTTACTCTGTGAATACATAAATCCTGGGATGCTTTTCAGTAAAATAGATTCAGTTAATTTGTGTCACGTTTTGCATAATAAACACGTGAAACTTCAGATTCTCATACTTTAACAGTGTTTGCAAATGGTAATTTCTATCCATTATTCTAAAGAGTAAGCTCATCCAGTGTAACCATGCAAAACGTTTTAATTGCTGCAACTTTGTTATATTAATTTTTTAAACTAGTGGTATTTGGGAATTTTATCAGAATTCTGAAAAAATGATGAATCGCCCAAGAAATCTTAACGCTACAATGCTGAAACGTGGAAAACTTCTCCATGTACTGGTGCTTTATGCTTGAAATAAAATCAAGACCATCTGTAAGCAATAGTGATTCTCAAACAACTATTTTTATAGTTTACTTCAAATTTCAAACACTTTGTTGGAAGATAATAAGGTAGATTTCTTCAAGTGCTGTTCTGTCCTGGGATTCCTTACAAAAAAAGATAGGTAGAACTCCAAACCGAGTGTATGGAGTTTAGAAAGAAAAGTGTCTGGACTTCTCTAGGTTTCCTTGAAGATGTTTCACCTCTCAGCCGAGAAGCTTCTTCAGTTGTAAGAACAATTGGTGGAGGTTCCCAGGTTTTAAGCCCTACGGGAGTGTCCCCAAGAGGGTCATGGACCCTCTGTCCTCTACGTCTATGATCCTCTACCTAATCACACAAGCCACGGTGTGAAAATGGGTGTGGGTCACAATTAGCCAAGGTTTGATACTTTACTGAGGTTATGTGGCCCAGGGTGTGAGTGGGCGATAAGGCGTCTGGGAAGGGATCTTTCCGAGCTCATTAGACTACAATGACCTGGATGACTGAGAACCTTCACAGACAACTCCAAACTGTTGACCATGAACATTATCCATATGTTCAATTTCAGATATCAAGAATATTTTTTCTGTAATTAGTAAAATCTTGTTTGCAAACGCCTATTGTTGCTAGCCATACTTTCCATACTCTTCCCTGGTCTTTCACATGAGCTCTTCATAAAACAGGGGGCAGAGAGGATTTGTGAGTTTATGCATAATTTTTCTTTTTGTGGATGGGTTCAAATTACCTCAAACGAGTAGACCAAAACAAACTCATTCATTGCAATCACTCCCCTGTACACAAAGCCATCTTGCTGATATTATTTATGATAATTGGCCACAATATCTCACAAACTGTCTGTGCTACAAAATAGAAACTTGGCAGAAAGCTGAATTTTTCACATTTTCAAAAAAACTGCTTTGATGGTATCACCACATGGTTAGTTACAAAGGGTAACCCTGCATAACCTACATGTACACACAAGATTTCGATTCCAAGTTGCTCAACTAGTTAAGTCTTAAGCTTCTAGTTCCAGCAGCTACAAACAAGCTGCAAAATATTTTAGCAGTTACATTTCATTTCAGTATCATATATCTTGTCATCTATACTCCAAACCCTTCAAAATTTTTACATATACAACTGAGAAGTGTTAAATAAGTATCCCCCTGAAACCCACAGGTAGATTCTGGGGTGATGGATGGGTTGCAGGCGCTGTGTCACTGACATAATTGTAGCAGCAGCTGCAATTTATCTTATACTTTATAATGTAACTCACTGTTAACAATTTGCCTGCGCTGACAATGTTCTTTGTGTAACCAAGACACAACAAAAGCAAATGCAATAAAGTTTGAAATCATTTTTATATTTCATACAATCCACTTCATTCTGTTTACAGTTACCAGCTAATTATTTTTCACTTTAGATACAAAACAATATGAGTATCTAAAATATGGTACACTGTTACAGACTTATGGATCTAAAAGTTTAGGCAGGGGGTATGGCTAGCTCTATTTCAACTTTCTATAACATCTAAATATCCCATTCCATGTTATCACATCAGCTATGAGGTCAATAATGATATGAATAATATATAAACTGCTGACTTCTCTCATTTTTGGCTCATAAAAACAGCATAAAATCCCAAACTGCTTACAATGTTTTGAGCAAAAGCATATTAATCCTCTCATGACACCTCAGATGTATGTTGTTACTGTGGGCAGCCCTGAGGACTTTCATCTGTAAACAAATATTTTTGTAGTGCTCGTACTGGTACTTTTAACTTACAGTAAGTAAATGATCTGACTCCTTCTTCCACCGCTATAACCAAGCCTATCATTAGACAACCACATGTAATCACACTCTGTGTTGCAACCAATTAATGCAGACACTTGCTAATGAAACAAACAGTTACATGCAGTGAAATAGTTAGCCTCAGTGTTATTGTTGTTGTCATATTATGTTTTAATGATGCTGAAAAGACTATTTAGTCCTTTAGGGTGCTGGACTCATAAGCAGTTCAGCTGCTTGAGTGCTCTGTCATAATGTAACAAGCAATTACAGAAAATATAAATATCTTAAGTGCACTGTACAATTTCGGCACAGTAAAATTTTCATTTATGTATAACTCTCTCTCCTGACTGCACTAGAGGAGTTGCTTGTTTTTGGACGCACTTAATCATTTTTCTTCCTTGGGATATGTCAATCTCCCATAATGGACAGCTGTGTCATTCAGCAGATGGTCAATCCAGATGTCTCACCTTTCCTCATATCCCTATCTACCCTCGTTCATCCATCCCGGCTTCATAGCTTACCTGTACACCAAAGTATCATCTGCCGTGCTGTTGTACTGAATCTGGTACATTCTGATGCCAGGGATATGGCGTTCAGATGGCCAGCGGATCACAGCGGAGGAGGAGGTCAGTTCAGTGACCATCACCCTTCTGTCCTGCTTGTCATAGCCCTTGGTGTCATTGCCAGATTTGGAGGAGGTGGTGATGTCTGAGAGTCCAGGGTCCTCACGCATGTGGCCCGTGTTGTTAACAAACAAGGGTAAGGGGATCATGTTGATCTCAACAGCAGCTGTAGCGATGCCTGCGGCATTGGATGCCACACAATTAAATGACCCACTGTCCTTCAGAGTGGTGATGAGAATATCAAGGGTGCCATTATCATACAAGACGGTGCGGGAATTGTTATGCACCAGCTTGCCGTCTGGTGACCGCCAGTGAATATCTGGTTCCGGATCACCCACAGCTTTGCATTTAAGAGTCACTCCTTGCCCTTCCATCACAAAAGGCTTACTGGTAAGATGTTTGGTGATTAGCGGTGGCTCACAGATAAACTCCTCCTCTTGAATAGACCAGAAATATTTGTCCATGAGGTGCTCTGGGGAGGCACAGGTCTCCAAGTCATCCTCTCTTGTTAGCCTGCGCAGCCACAGCAGCTCACAGTTACAGTGCAGGGGGTTTCCCCCAAAACTCACGGTCAGCGTAGACGAGCTGGAGTCCTTGGCATCAGACAGAACCTGAGCGTGCTGGAACAGGCTGTCTGGCGGCAACTTCTGCAGCCTGTTAGAGGTCATGTCCAGGCGGACTAGCTTAGTGAGCAGTGTAAAGGTCCCTGCTCCAATGTGGTCAATTAGGTTGTGGTCCAGTGTGAGGGTGTTAATGTTGGTCATTTTGGCTATAGCTTCCCAGGGAAGGGTGCGCAGGTTGTTATTGGAAAGATCCAAGTCCTCTATTGTGGAAACAAACTCATCAAATGAGGTGGGGGCCACCTGGTGGATCTGGTTGTTTCCGAGGATGAGGTGCCGCAGGTTGACGAGGCCTTTAAAGTGTTCGCTTTTTATAGCACTGAGACGGTTTCCATCCATGTGGAGCGCCCGCAAGGCTCGCAGGCCGAGAAAGGCATGGGGTGTGATCTGACTGATGGTGTTGCGGGACAAAGTGAGGTGGACTAAACTAGTCATGTTGTAAAAGTCTTTCCTGCGGATGATGGTGATAAAGTTGTCAGTGAGTCGCAGCTCGACAGTCTTGCGATCGATGGTGGGGGGCACGAACAACAGACCGGTTTTAGCACAGAGCAGAGTCAGAGTAGGGGAGAGGTGCTGGCAGATGCAGCGGCCGGGGCAGCTGTATCCCTTCACCAGGGCTGCAGACAGCAACATACAAAGAACCAGCCGCTCCATTGTTGATCGGTTTCCAGATCCTGTGTGTGAGATAGACAAAGGGAAACAGGGGAAACAGAGTCAAAAAAACAGAAATCTTTGAATGAATAAATAGTACCAGGCTTTATGAGAGCCTGTTGCAAAAAACCCAGAGTCTGACCAAGGTTGCTGAGACTGCCAGCAAGGTATCAATCACAAAATGAAATGGAGCTTTTCTGAAATAATGGCACCTGGGATGATGAAAGGCTGCGCCAACCCTGTCAGAAGCCCATGTCTGTGGAGCTTTTTAATGGAAATAACAGAATGGGTTTTTTTGTGCCACTAGGCTGCATCACCACTGGGCCATATAATTTCCTGAATGATCACAGGGCAGTTTTCCTGTATTAGGTAACCATGCCATGTACATGCCCATCATGGAACAAGGCTTGTGTGTTTTTCTTGCTCTGAATTCCACATCAGGGAGGAGAATTAAAGGTAGAAAGGGCGCTTGTCAAAAGTACTCAATGATTTCTGTAACCTTTTCATACTCTCTGCCCTCGCTATGCCTCTGAGATGTACAACAAAATTAGACAGAAACCTGCCATGTAAATTTTGGCAAGGAAAAATAAAACTGGAAAAAGTAGAAATGCGGCCTGTTTTCATTGTTCATCCGATGGAAACATTATTGAGTGATTCCCAGGTTTTGAGGATGTTCAGATTCTCTGATTCCCATTTAGAAATATTGATTTCAGTCTTTGAGAGAACACGCCTGTGGTGACAGGAGTAAAAAGAAGTCCTTGGCAGTAATAACCATAAAAAGCCCACTGGAGCACACTAGCTACGTGTTGATGTGGTTTTACCCTTTTTGGCATTCATCTTGACTACTAATACCTTGTGTTTCACTGTTGATGAGAGCCTTTTAATGCTGCTAAAGTAGAGGGATGGCAACTCACTTTTCCCAGCAAGGTTTAGAGATTGACACAAGCGTTACTGCAACCCAGCACTCTCCAGACCCACAGGGAAACGCTTCTTCCCAGCCATATCCAGTGTGTCAATCAACAGCAATGTTTCTTTTTATTGGGTCCAGCATAATTATCTTAATTCATCCTGAAAAAGCCGGCTGTGGATTTTAAACACAAATGATGTCTCTTTTTTCACAATTTGTGATGCTTTATCCAATTTGTCACAGCTAATTTTAGAGTCCCTTTTTCTACATTCCACTACGTTGAGGTGGTGCTGATGGCCTTAACACCACAGATTTTTGTTCCCCCATTGTGCCCAAAGCAAAAGCATCTAGTGCTAACAGAACAAACAACGCTAAATTAAATTTGATTCAAAATGCCTGCGGTGAAATTCACAGAATATTTTAAATGCCACATGTCAAATTTCATTAAAAAAAAAAAAAGAAAGCAGAGTGTTCTTTCTCTACCTTTCAAGCTTTCCTTTACGCTTTACACAAACACTCCCTTTTGCTTAAAAGCGATCAAACCTGATCTGATGAGAGTTATGTTCTGATAGTTCTATGTAAATACTGACAGGAGTAAGAAATTTTGTGTGCAATGATGTCTTTTTACATCAACCTGTGGCACACTGGCCAGACACCAGCGGACATTCTCAGTTGCTTTTCCTATTCGGTCTGTTGCACACGCACACAGACACACGTGCACAGACACACGTGCACAGACACGCACTGCTGGCCGGGTGGCTGGCAACCGTCTGACAGCGAACACGACACCTCGTTAACTATGAGAAAGTGCTGCACAATCAGAGCACTCATAAAATCTGGATTTGTGTGATGTCATTATCTGAGGGAAGTAGAACAGTTTGAAGCACAAGTTCAAACCAGTGGGATAGTTTATCAAAGATAAACTGCTGATCAAATTAACCCAGCAGTGACAGCTGTGCTGCTACTTTAGACTACATTTCAGTAGACCAGTAGACTGTATTTAAGTGAGATACTAAACCAAGACCTTTGGTCCATTTGTGTTTACACCTCCTTTTCTCGTTGCTTCGACTCTGCAGGCGTAGCTGTTACCTCTAATTCTAAGACAGAGTCGCTAAAGTACAGCACGCACATAGTTATTTTCTGCTATCTGTCACATTTATACTGAGGTTAGACCGCATTCCTGGAGAAAAAACACATACTCTGTGTGGACAAGTCTTCAAGAGAGAATTTATATAGTAATGTTCTTTTGTGCGACTCCCTCGTCTAAATTAATTCTCCATATTTTCTCTTTTTAAGCACAGTGGGGAAAGCTATGCAGTAGGTTACAACAGGGAACGTCGTGTAAATTCTTATGTGGGAACTTGTCACACTCGTTTGTTAAATTTCAATATAGTGGTGACCTTGCTTGATTGTGTTAGTATTCAGATGCTAACTAGGCCACAAAGCTCACAGTTTCTCAGAGGACCATCTGTGTCTGAGCACTTCCTGCCACACCGTTGAGGATACTCTATTGATCTTTCAGCATCTCAGGGAGGGGGAAAACTTTGTTGCCACGGCAACTCTGGTGTAGAATGTAGGTCTTTGAATTGCATTAAGATGATGTTAAGCTGCCCGATAAGCGAGGCTTCGATCTTAATGGTTGCCGCTAAGAAGGTTGGACGGGACGTGAACAGATGTATGAATGGCAACGTAAATTGAAAGAAAAGGGCAGCTCTGCTTCGCATTTCTATCTTTGGTTTATTGCTTAATAAAAGTGCCGGTCACCAAATCGATATGCAGACAGCAGCAGAGAGCACAAGGTGAACCGGAGTTTAGATTTGCTATGTCCAGCCATGACACAATACAACCTTTCACAGGGAATTAGCTAGCTGTGTTACTAAGAAAAAGAAATTGAAGAGGCTATACTTTGAATTGGTAAAGGAAAATAAGGCTGCTGGACACCAAAACAAACACAAGAAAAAGTGAGAATGTTATGTGATAATATAAGCAGAAACACACACACACACACACACACACACACACACACACACACGCAGATTAAAATTATGAAGCTGTGAAACTACTTAGGTCATCCAGTGATTAGCAATGGGATAATTGAATAAGCAGTTAACAAAAAAGTGTATAGCTCTAAAAAAAAAAAGAAAAAAAAAGAAAGAAAATATAAGAAAATATACTTCACAGTATAGATATAATCGACATTAAATACTACACGCTTTAAAAAAAATAAAAAATTAGACCACTCCCATTGCCTAAAATCCAGAAATCGTCTAAAATCCATAAAAAATGCCTTGACATTCATTGCCTTGGCCACAAATTTAAGCTACTACATGTCTAAATGGCAGGATTGTGGAAACCAATCAGAGATCCTAACAAATAACAATTTAAATGTATATCGAATACAGGAACCACTCAGAGAGCTTGGACCTCCGCTAAGGCAGCTCACTCTCTGAGCAGTATTTACTATTAAGGAAAAAATGCTGTATTTTGTATACATTAATTGTTTTTCTTTGTTCTTTTTTAAAAACATACCTTAAAAAGTTTAGTAATAAATATCAAATGACAAGTTTGGGGGTTTTTTTTGTACAGGAACATTGTACATGTATTCAAAATGTTATGTAATTAAATGATTATAATCTTACTGTAATATAAATGCTAAAGTCATAATGAAATAAATCTTGCCAATACAAAGAGACTAGAATGTCCAAAAGAATAACATGTGACCTTTTCTGACTTCCACTGATGGTAATGCGATGTTTAGAACCCCCATATATCATTCCCTATAGGCCTATATGTTGCCAATACAAACAATGTCAGTGAGAAATCTCTACATAGCTTTATTATCACTTTGACCTTCAGATCTTTATATTTCACTTTCAATATGTTCACAATACACACCACACCAGCCTAGTTCTGAGGCTTTTTGTCACTTTTTCACCAATAAATTATTAAGTTACCCCCAAAGACCTCGGTGGATGTAAGCCAAATTTGACTGGATTGTTAACACGACCCCACTCTACATCCCAGGTTTCACTCAAAACTTGAGAATGACACACGCTACTAAAAACACTACCTCCTTGGCAGAGGCAATAAATAATTTTGTTCTAATTTACATAAAATGTACAAGTTTTGTTTTAATCGTGACTGTGTTAAATTTTACATCTTAAAATACAGTGCACACCAGTTTTGAAGAAAATTCAGTACAGCCTAGTAGCCCTCCACACGGAGACTAATGACTGATGAATCATCTGTATTAGAGGTGTATTTGAGTGGGTGGTGAAAACAGGCATAAAAAACCCAACTTTTCTTTAATGCTCGAGGATGTGTGAGATTACATTCTGCTTTGTTGATGACGCTCAAGCAGGAAGGACCTGTTTGCAACTTGTGTTGTTGCCAGCAGTGACAGCAGTTACCCAGGGAAAGCATTTCAGCATCAGGAAATCTGATGACTCCTCTAGGTGAAGATAAAGGGTTTTAATTTTATATCCTAAAATGTTTATGTAATGTTTTGACAGTTAATTCTGGTATTTTCTGCTTCAGATTTCAATGTATATAAAGATCTCATTAAACTATGAGTTTATTCAGAAGCATTATCAAACCACCGCCTTTCATGTCGGTGGAGATGCTAATGACTGACCTTCAGTTCGGAATTACTGATGAGTGTTTTTAGGTTTCTTTTATCTTCTTGTATAAGCATATATTCTGGGTCTGGGGGTGGGTGACCTGTGTAGCAGTGAGAAATGTTCTTTGTGATAGTTGTTGCTTCTTCATCCTGATTTGCAGGATGAAGAAGCAACAACATCAATTAATTGTCTGTCTTGAATAAAGCATATTGAGGTTCTACAGAGTGCATGTGGGCTGATTTTTCTCTTGCCGCTGGCACTACATTAAAGCAAATGACAGCTGGGGTCGAATGGATTTGTCAGTTAATTGATTAGTCATCAAGTTTTTTGATCACTAAATTCTTTTTCTAAATTCAGTTATCAAATGATAATTATGAAAACTGCTTCCATCTTTCAAAAATGAGCAAAATGCAGTATATTTAACAAACTTGTTACCGTTTCATGTGCATATGTAACTTTTTCCCTTGATGTTTTTTCTTCCTGTTGGCTGCAAACC